AAGGGATATTTGAAATTCATGTTATTAAGTTTTTGTTCTTGTTCTTTTTGTGTAGACATGACTGTATCTGTTTTCAATGTGCCTGTCAATAAGTTGTCATTCCATCGTTTTCGTGGTGATCCTATTGGGGAACAGTCTCGCTGTTTTGTTAATTCTTCATGTTTTTTGGGTTTACATGAATACTAAAAGCACTAGATTGAAGAAAACGGCTTAATCTATCAAACTAAATCAAATAACGATTAAAAAGTTTATGCTAATAATTATAAAATAGCTTTGAAAAAGTACTGTGATTTTAAGCTTATAAACAATTAAAATAAATATACAGGGTGTTTAATTAGTGTGATAAACCTCAGTAGATCCGCTATAATAATAGATAGCATTATAAGTTAGTAACAAAAAATGTAGGCACCTTTGAGTTTTTCATTAAAAAATTAGTTAGAATGTTACAGGGTGTTCGATAACATAATGGCAGACCAAACTTATATATTTTTTAAACCGAACACGCTGTATTTTATTTTAAATACGAATAGAGTACTTACAAATCTATATTTTCTAAAAATTTTCTACGAAAATCGTAACAAGTTCAAATCCCTTCATAATTAAAAAGAAGCAATAAATAATGGTGTTTTGCTGCCATATTTTTTTATTGATTGTCAAAATTTTCAACAATGATTGGTATTGCTAATTTTTTTTATATCGAATACACGGTGAGTCAAAACGCACATTAATTTTAAATAGAACACCCTGTATGTTGTCACTATCGAAAAGTACCATTACCATACTTAAATTTTTTTTTGATATTCCCTATGTGTAATTTTTTTATTTTTTGAGATATTTTGACTTTTCAAAGCAAATTCTTAATTAGGTGTCTAAATTTTTACAAATTTTAAGTAAGCCATGACTGAATTTTCTAAAACCGACAGTTCGCCATAATTGTTTGTGTATAAATTTACTAAATAGCTAAATGAATTTTACTGTTGATTAACTGGTAGATATTATCTGGATATTGGGGGAGTGCCATAAAAATGCGCTATTATCAGTAAGAATTTATCATGAACGGATTCCTGACAGGCGACAACTTTTAACAACTAACAGCAAGCTTTGAAATATTGAAGGATTGGTTTACCAGTACTGGTTCAGTTATGCATGAAAAACACGAACAAACAAAAAGTACTGTGACAGAGGAAAACGAAATAAGTGTGTTATTAACAGTCCCTGAAAATCCACATAAAAGTATACAGAGTATTCTAAAGAAAAAGAACTAATCTCGGTGCCCAGAATTCTGTTAAAAACATGCACCCATACCGTATTCAATTTCACCAATAATAATGTAAGATTTTGAAAAGAGGGCATTTTGTGAATGGGCCTTAGATAAAATAAATCAACAGAAAGATTTCTTCAATAATGTACAATTTGGAGCTGAAGCTACGTTTCATAAAAACAGTTCTGTTAATAGGCACAACGTTTATTACTATGCCGCAACTAATCTGTACATAGTTAAACACAGTCAAACTAGATGATCACTGAACGTGTGGGGAGGTATTGTTGGTAATATAGTACCATGTCGTGGTACTACGTCGATTTTTTTTGATAGATGTATATGAGCCGCTGAGAGCAGAAGTGGTGTAAGTCAAAAAATCAAGTTCTCAGCAAATTAGTGCTTTACTAGAAGCTCTGTACACATGAAGGTTTTTATGGAATTTGTGTTTGGACATGTGAATGTATAATACATTGCTCATGCTTATAGTATGCACTTTTACGTAATAATCTTCATAATAAAGATTTTATTAGCCTCTCAAATGACTTACACCACTTTTGAGGTAAACTTACCCAATGGCAATGACTTAATACACGACTTTTACATCAAACGTGTTTAATGATTAGGTGTCATTTATGATTTGCATTGAAGTGATGTTAACTAAATTAAATAAAATGATGTAGACTAAATTTAGATAAAAAATTATACATTGCTTTTGAAATTTTTATTCATGATTTCTGGATGGCACTTTCCCTCTGTGGATGTGTACTATAATTTCAGTAATTTTTTAGATAAGCTTGTCTATATTTTCAATAAGGCATTTCCTTTAATTACAATTAAGTCAAAACATCACAAAACCCTGCGTTCACTACTGTACATCAAGAAATTTACTACTAATGTCTTTCTCACTTAATATATCTCCAAGTAGAGAGGAACCTATCTAAAACTTATCAAAACAGCTATGTAAAAAATGTACTATGAGAATCGTCTGGGAAGCTCTAAAAATGTTGCAAGGGAAACTTGGTCCAAAATAAACATCTTCCTATCCTATTTCCTATCTTCCTAATTGAAAAAAGGTCTCGAATTCATTATTTATAAGACCAGTTGATAAATCTGAACTGATCCAGACAATCAGTAGTATCAAAAACAAATCTTCCTGTAGTACTGATGGACTATCCATAAAAAATTTCTTAAATCTCACAAATAATGTGTTGGAAGTCCTGGTCTCACTAATTAACGATTCCTTTGAAAAATGTATATTTCCAGAGTGCCTAAAGACAGCTATTATTGTTCCTCTCATAAGGGTGGTGATAAATCTAATGTTTCCAACTATAGACCTATTGCCTTACTACCTGTCCTATCCAAAATTATTGAGAGACATAAAAGGTCGACTTATGTCCTTTCTCATTGAAAACAACATTTTATCACTAAGTCAGTTCGGCTTTTTGTCTAATAAATGTACTAGCAATGCTATGATTTCTGTACTACTTGAGGTCTATCAAGCTCTAAACAATAATCTTTATACTGCCACTGTTTCTTGTGACTATGCCAAAGCTTTTGATTGTGTAAATTCAGACATTTTGATAAAAAAAAAACTAAATTCTACGGAATTCGAGGTATTTCAACTAAATTTCTACGGAATTCGAGGTATTTCTTTGACTTGGTTCTAATCTAACTTGAGGAATAGGAAACAACTAGTTCGAGCAAATGATACTGACTCTAGTCACACAAGCATTGTATGTAGATTACCACAAGGTTCAGGACTGGGTCCTCTACTTTTCCTTATCTTTATAAATAACATCACTAACTTAAAAATCGATGGAAACATTTTTCTTTTTGCTGATGATATCAGTATCACCTGGAAGAACTCTAATATTGCAACGCTTCATGTAATTATAACTTCTGATCTACTTAAAATAAAAACCTGGTCCGACTCGAATTTACTCTATGGCATTATTTTATAAAGGAGCTCTTCAACCCCTGCTTCTTAATAACAGCCAAATCAATATAATTGATTCTATAAATTTATAATTGTATAATTGATTTGATAAAATTTCTTGGTATTTTCCTTAGACAGCAACCTTAAATAGTCCCTTCATATCGATTTGTTAAGTAAGAAAGTAGCCTCAGCCTGTTATGCAATAAGATCTGTTTCGAAGGAAATGAATTTACCATCTTCGGTATGGCCTTTGTTTTTACGGTTCTAATACAGCTGCCCAATCTTATGTTATTTTTAAATTACAAAAAAGAGCAGTACGGTATCTTTTTGGCCTCAGTACAATAATACATTGCAAAAGCTACATCAAAAATCACGGGATTTTAACTCTTCCCTCTCTGTATATTCTAGAAACTGTTTGCTTAATTCGTAAACACCTTCATGTCTTTCCAGAAAGACCTAGTCATGACTACTCTTCTAGAAATTCAATCTTTGATGTGTATTTACCGATCCCATCCACTGAGTTAGTAAATAAATCTATATTATATTCGGCAAAAAAATTATAAAACCATCTCCCTTTTCAACTTAAATATATAACTGACTACCTTATTATTCAGGGGAAGAGTTTCTCAACAAATAATTAAGAAAGTACAGTTATTTTAGGTTAGGTTCAATTGAACGGAGTCCAAGTTGAGAAAGTTCACAAAATGACATATTTGGGAACTGTGATAACGGACCAACTAGATCCAGACATAGAAATAAAACGTAGAATAGCAATGACTAAAACTACTTTTATGAAAATGAAGTCATTTCTTTGCAATAACCATCTCAGTTTAGAACTAAGGCAAACTAAAATGGTTAATGTTTGGTCTGTACTTTTGTATAGTGCAGAAATGTGGACGCTAAAAGTATCGATCATGAACAAAATTGAAGCATTGGAAATGTGAATATCTTCAGCATACACGAATGCTGAAGATACCTTGGACAGCAAGAAAAACTAATGAAGAAGTACTAAGGAGCGTCAACAAAGACAGAGAACTGCTAAAGACTGTTAAACATCGAAAAATGTGTTACCTGGGACATATAGTAAGGAGAAGTCAATATAAAATTTTACAACTGATCCTTAAAGGCAAAATAGAGGGCATAGAGGTTAGGAAGAAAACAAGTTTCTTGGTTAAAAAAAAACATTTAATATTGCAGAAGATCGAGAAGCTTTCGCAATGGTGATCGCCAACGTCGTATAATTCTGATATGTCACGCGAAGAAGAAGAACAAGTATTTTTATATATATTCGGATATCACATGCAACAGATTAAACTTATTCGTAAACTAGTTCGTAAGGTTTTATTATGGAATTTGCAATATAGTGAAAATTTGCAATATATTGTATTTTAGTAAATTTTAATTGTTATTGTTATTATTACATTCTTTTTTACTTTTATAAGCTTTGTCCATAAAATTGTACAATTTTCAGTGACATATTTCTTCTTCTACTTATTGCAATTCATGGTAAAATGTTTCCCTTGTTTCAAGCTTGTTATTTTCTGTGCCGTACACTCAGATCATGTTCTCGTTTTCCTTCTCAATTCTTATTTGTTGTTACAATCCTTTCTGATATATATATTGATACACTTTGATCTGATTTTGGTATCTTTGGTGTGAGTAAGACTACACTTGCTTTGCCCTGTTTTATTTTGCTATTCTACTGTAGATTAGTATACATTTACTTAACTGTAATTGATTATTAACTTTTTGTAACAGTAAAAATTGCATTTTTGTTTAATTATAAATTGTTGTATGTTTTAGGAGTATTGTCTACGATCTATACCCCTGGTGTGCCACACAGTAAAGGAATATCCACTAGTATTATAGTTTTAAAAACCGCTGGTTCCGGAGACCCACCATCTGGCTACAACCCACCATCTCCTCCGTCCAAAGATGGCAGCGGCGGTAACGGCAAAAATAAAAACACTTTGTCGTGTCCTAAATGCGGAGATCCATGTACTCATGTGGAGACTTTCGTCAGTTCTACGAGGTTTGTCATTTTTATGTTTATTAATATTTATACATATTTATATAGCATACATACTTGTATTTCATAAAAGCTAAGTGATTTTACCGATACTATATGTACACAGAGTAGTTATCTCCACTAATCTTAGTGTATCTCCACTAAGTTAAATCGGTAATATTATCGTACAGAGCGAAAAAAAAGCCGTTTGATGTTATTTTAACTGGTTAAGAATAAAACAACTGCCTTAATATAGAGCCATCGAAAAAAAAAGTAATTAGAGCCGATCTTGGAATAAATATTTCTTCTTTTTGATAGTTAGTCAGTTCCGCACAAGGAATTCAAAATTTAACCTGTCAACTTGTTGGCAATTTTCAACTTTTTTAAAAACACAAAGTTAGTGAAAATAAGACAGTGTAAAACATGTTTAAGCCCTTTTTGTTACTCATATATATAGAATAATATTTTATTATATAGAACATTTATTTGTCTTCTTCTTCTTCTTAAGGTTCCATCTTCTAACGAAGGTTGGATATCAACATGGCAATTCTTACTTTACTTACAGCAGCTCTAAATAGTTGGCTAGAGCTCAGACTAAACTAAACTAAAGTAATGTAATAAAATTTATAAACAAGGTCATTCAACGTCAAACCTCATTTGACTGAATGTGGTACATTTTAAGTATTTTCAAAAGTTCTACAGCATATGGAAATCCTGCAAAATTAAATAAAATATGAATCCGACTACTTTAGAATTGAGAATTTCAGTGATGTCATTGATGTTTGTGGTGAAGCACTAACTTAGACAATGAATTTACTTAAATTACTTCTAATATAGCTTGGATCAACTCTTAAATCTTCCTTTTCAAGTACATGGGAATGTCTGATATAAATTTCCACCATGTTAGTCCTATTCTCTAGTTAACTCTGTTGTTTGGTTATCTCTTTGACTCTCCATTTTTTAAACTCCCCATTTTTGTTTATTCCAATATTTTCCCAATTATTGTTTTTCAGTCACTCTGTAATAAAGTGGCAAATAGTTTAGGAGACATGGTGTCTTATAGTAGTATAAAAAGTGTAAATACTGATTATGATAGCTTAAGTGCTTTTCAGTAAAGCGGTAAATACAATTATTGAAACACTAATGAAATAATCTAATGCGCGTGTCACAAAATGAAAGAAAAATGAGTTTACTTGGATGTATACTGTAAGGTAAGAGGCCATAGGAAAATACAAAAGAAGAAGACTATATATGCGATGAATAGACTAATAGACATGTTAAAGAGAGATAAAGAATAAATTTAAACATAAGCTATTCTTTATTTTAAAATAATTAGTGAAATCACTATTTTTGGTTATTTTAAATTTCGCCTTACGCTATATTATTCCGAGAATAAATTAAGACTATATTATTATTTTGGTAGTATATGTACAAAACATTTACTATTTGTTAACCTCGAAATTGTTTTCTATTACTGGCAACATGCTATACCATGGGTATACCAGATTTGGTGACCAAAATTTACAAATATATTATTAGGCATTATAGCCAGTAGGCAAATGTCAAAATATTTTTCAACAATAGCAACACCATGTAAGCAATCATTTCTACTTTACCTATTTCAAATCTTTAAAATTACGGATAAAAACATTTTAATACTGTTTTATAAAAAAATGAAACCTTAAATCGTATTTCAAAGTATATAATAGGTATTTAATATAATAGTATAGCACAATATTTTGTTTTTTATTTCGGGGTTTCCCCTTCGTGTCCGCACTGTATTTTTGAATGTTAATAATTGGAAATTCTTATTGCAGGTTCGTTAAATGCGAGAAATGCCATCATTTCTTCGTCGTTTTAAGCGAAGTAGATAGCAAAAAAAAGGAAGGGGTCGACGCCAAAAGTGGTCAGTACAAGAAACCTCCACCTCATCCAAAGAAGATATACGATTACTTAAACAAGCACGTGGTCGGACAAGAACATGCTAAAAAGGTATATAGTTTTTGTAGAAAAGATCTGTTCTTTATGTTGTTTGGATTAAAAGTTTCTAACGTTTGAAGAAGTTCACCAGTGTCGTCTTGAAGTTAAGTTTAGTCTTCTTTTGTTTTTGAATTTTAGGGGTCCTAAAAATCCTTTATAGTGTATAGATAAAAATGAACAAGCTTCACCGAGAGAGGAGACACTAATTTAGCACATTAACACTCATCTGCGAATTCTAATTGCAATTAATGTTGAACGTCTTTCGGACTGCAATGTAGCTCGAACGAAAACCACTATATCACTTCCTTCGAAAAGATCACTGGAAGTCATATTACCAATGCACTGAGCTACAGAGTTGACTTAAAAATCTGTTTCTTACTGTTTATTTAGTAGTTATTATCGCTCTGTGTGTGTTTTTTTAATATATTGTTACTAAATTATGGCTAAAATTTAGTTGACATGGTTAGCCTCTTAATGAATTTAAGGTATTATATTTTCTACTAAGCTAACTACCCCAGTCTAGAAAAAGATATGAGTAGGTATAAAAAACTATTACAGGTATCTGATCATCTAAAGTCATAGGGGGGACATAGTTAATGAAAAATACGTATTGAGGTTCTGTCAGATCGTCATTATTTTTTTATAAACTAAGGTCAAAGCCCAAAAATGTGTTTTTTTTTATCTGTAGTATTTTTGACCATATTAGAAGCACTCGTTGTATTGAATAACTATTGTGTTATGAAGAGACGTTTAATTTGAATTTTCACGAGTTCAAACTCATCAACAATTTTCCGAAATAATTGTAGAAACCCATTTTTTTCAACTCTTCAATAAACCTTAATAATATTGTTCTGAAGCTATTTTCTTGCGGCATTTTAAAGTAATTACTATTTAAATGAAAATAAGCCACAAAGTTTAAAGTTATTGACGTTTCAATTTCCACTTCGGAAATCGTTCTCAAAATACACACGTTTGTAATTGTGGTTTATTCCAATTAAAATAGTAATTACTTTAAGATGCCATAAGAAAATAGCTTAGAGTAATATTAAATCTAGGTATTCGTTGACAATTTTAAAAAAAATCAACTCTTGATATTTATTAACATAAGAGATATGGTTAAAAAAATAACTTGATTTTATGGGTCGTAGAAGGTTCTACTACTAAATTAGGTTTACATCAGCATCATATAACCGTACTAGTTGTTCTTTGTTTTTATATCCAACTAACCCACAGGAAATAACTAGTATAGTCGGAAGTTTTAAATCCAAACACAGTTGTGGTTTTGATCAGATTTTCCCTAAGTTATTAAGGTTGATCTGCACCCCCCAAAAAATAAATTCCAAATTCAAAAAATTTGAAAAAATTTGAGAAGGTGTATGAGATGACTAGAAATGTTTTGACAACTTTTAAGCAAACTTCATGTTTTCGTTTTTAAAAAAACTCAAAAAAACTACTTTTTTCCAAGTATAAAGCGGGAAAACCAGACATATAATTTTGTTAATTTTTTTACAGCATCAAGATATAATTATAAGAAATACTTAGGAATTTTTTTTTAAATTTTTGAATTTACAGTTTTGTCCCAGTAGGAAAAAATAGTATGTTTCTGCTTATAATAAAGCTTCCGGTAAGAAACCAAAAATTTTTTTAATAACAACATATATAAAACTGTAAAAGTGGAAAATATTTGCAATAAAACGTTAAATATTTTTTCCTAAACATATGAAAAATCTCGTTAAACAAGAATTATGTCTTGAACCGCCGCCTTCAAATGTGTAATATAGGGAGATGGCTCCATCTGAAACAGTGGTAGTATTTATCATCGATAGATAGCATTACGTTCGGCTTCGAAACGCTTCAAACGAAACGACATAGTAACAGGGTTGCCATATCAATTAGTTTGTACAACAATTTGGCAGAATATAACAAAACTTAGTAGGAATGTTATCGGTTTGAATTTTAAACTGGTCATGCTGAAACTTATAGAGTTACAGAATAGTAGATACTGCAACTTTTATTTTGAAAGTATGATATCATAAAATTTACACTCTATAAGTATTATATCTATAAAAAACTTATTTAGTTTTAAAAACCTATTTAGGCGTTTTTAGTAAATTATTTTAGTATTTATAAACAATAGTGTTCCTTGCATAACGGCCATTAAAGGTTAAATTTGCAGATAATGATAGTCCATTATTTATGTTGCGCAATAATATGAGGTTGTTAGGAACCAAATTTTCTAGAATTCAATTGAAGGATGACTTAACTAAATATCAAATAAACTATTTGAATAAAGTGCGAGAGGAACTGGAAAAACGTAATCTACTTAACAGGAACTAACATAAAGTATATTAATAAAGTTCCAACTATTATTAGTACTAACCAACAAAATTCCGCAAAAAAACAAATATAGTTGACAACAATAAATATTTTTTAGACTAATATTGCTTCTTTACATGCTAAGTTTTCTGACTTTTTGTCAAACAATAAGTTGGTCTACTCAAACACCAAAAGTAGTTAGTAAAGCAAACTCTGCTTTATTATTTATCACAAAAGCTTTTCATAGAATATCTGCAGACTTGTTTTTGAAATTCTACAAAACTTATGTCAGACCTGACCTAGAATTTGCAGTGTCAGTTTGGTCACCTCATTTGCAAAAAGACATTAATTTATTAGAAGAAGTACAACTAAGAGGGACCTAGCTACCTTTTAATTATGGAAGATTAGACTATGAAACCCGACTAAGAAAGCTCAAGTTGTCTCCATTAACTCTTAGACGAGAAAGATATGATGTCATATCTACTTATATAATATAATTCTTAGTGGGGATTTTTGGAGGGGGGTGGTAGACTAAGAGGTCATAACTATAAATTGAAAAAGAAGTATTTTAAAACCACCTAAAGGCAAAACTTTTTAGTTAACTGAGTTTTTGATAAATTAGACGGTGTAAGTGATGACATAGTAGAAGCTACTAGTTTAAATAGTTTCAAAAACAAGTTTGATGAAAACGAACAAAATATTGTACCTAGTCTTATGTTAATTATATTGGTTGTATTTTTTTTTCTTTTGCAAACTTATGTACACTTGGTAATATTTATATTTTTGTAATTTGCTATTGCCAGAACTTTTTGTAAGTACTAATTCTTTTAAAAAATATTTTTATTTTTACTTTGTGAGAAAATTTGATTTATATTATATTATTTAGTTTAGTACATACAAATATTTTGTAATTTGGGCCACATAAGCTCTGTCTACTTCACGGAAGACAGACTGGGAGGGGGATGTCCTCAACCTCGACACGGCACGTCCCATATGGCTGATAGGGAAAGTTCCTGCAGATATGCAGGACAGGTACGAATAAGGCATTGCCAAATAAGTACCCGCGGATCAACTAAGGATATGACATTAGGCAGCAGTAATGTCATTACTGGATTAAGGCTGTGGGAAGTAAAAATCCTGTAGGTTTATTCCAGATACTCACAGGCGTCACTCACAATATGAGTTAAGCGGCTGTGATACTGCGATGGGGAAGGCAACGGGAAACCACCCCATTATGATCCCTAGTAAAGTTATCATGGAATCAATGAGTGTAACGAATACTAATGATCATGGGCTGCAGAACTCAAGATCCGGCAGGGGAAGGAATACACAATCAAACCACAGGGCTTCCCAGGTCGCTAGCCAGCGAAATCCCTGTGAGGAAAACATCACTAGACATACGATGAAAATGAAGAATTTACTCTGCTCCAAAATACAAATTAAATTAAAAAAATTAACAAAGCCAACTAAGCCTTGTAAGATATATCTCGACCCCCTGAAAAACCATCAAACGCGCGAACACATATCACAGCAAATAAATAGTAAAATACACAGAATATCAAATATACCAAACGAAAACAGAACCATTAACTAATGCTGGTATGCCATTCAAAACTCGATTTTAGAGAACGTACAAGAGTCTTTGAAAACACCTACCATGTTGGCAAAAAATGAGTGGATGACACAAGAAATTCTAGATCTGATGAAAGTTCGACGGCAACACAAAAATAGAAATATTATCGAATATCGTGAAATTAATAAACGCATAAAAAGAAAAATTAAGCAAGCCAAAGAATCCTGGCTTGAGAATTTATGTGAAGAAATAGAAGACCTCCAAAAAAAGCATGACAGCTTCAACCTGCATAAGAAACTTAAATATACTGCCGGAATTAGAAAACAGAAAAATGCTCACATACTTAAAAGCGCGGACGGAAAAATTTGTGATCACGAACAACAGTGCAAAGAATGGGAGAGATACATCACTGACCTTTTTGACGATGCTTCTAGAGAAAATGCTCCAAATACTGCCTGTGACAGCCAGTTGGACAGAGGTCCCAATCTACTGAATTCGGAAGCCGAAAAGGCAATACAGCAAGCCAAAAACAATAAAGCACCTGGACCAGATCAAATCCCTGCCGAACTACTTAAACTTTTTAATGAGGAAAGCATTGCCTGCTTAACCTTCCGCAGATAACGTGAAACATTTTAAAATTTTTGATAACGTCGGTCTAACAAACCGACTTTTTCTAAAATTAAAAAAAAATAGAAATTTAGCTGTAGGTGATAAATATTTGTAATAATATAATTGTGTATATTATTCTCTATACAAATATATAAAATTTATAATTTTTTTGTTATTTTAATAATTTTAAGGAGATATTAAAAAAAAGTGTCATTTTTATGAACAGTCTTTTAATAAAATCAAAATAATTATAACAAAAAAAATAAATTCTGGTTTCACTAAAACATAAATCAGTTACTTGTATGTTAATAAACAGAGAAAATAAAATTTTACTCTCAAAATTTTCACAGATCACTGAAACTATTCCAAATTTTGGGCACCATAATTTTCAAAACAATGCCTGGATATTTTCGCCACCTTGTAGTTCCATCTTTACCGATAAGGCAGGGTATTCTTGAAGTACAAGCGGTTTCTTCAAGAATAGGTAAGTTTTGTTGATTTTCAAACTCCTCTT